GTGAGTGAGTGGCAACTTAGTGAGTAAGTGTGCGAGTTAGTGAGTGCGAGTGCGAGTGAGTGACTGAGTGTGCGAACATGTGAGTGCGCGAGTTAGTGAGTGTGCGAATGAGTGACTGAGTGACTCTGTGTGCGAATGAGTTAGTGTGCGAGTGTGCGAGTTAGTGAGTGAGTGACTGAGTGTGCGAATGAGTGAGCGAGTGAGTGAGCGAGCGAGATCGCGATTGAGTGAGTGTGCTAGTGAGTGAGTGCGCGAATGAGAGAGAGAGAGTGTGCAAGTGAATAAGTGAGTTAAGGTACAAAGCTGTGTTGAAGATTTGAAGATGGCGTAGCCACGACAAAGCAAACCAAAGGAGCGAGCATTGCTAGCTTCCGATTCTCTGGGTGATCGAAAGCAGCCTCTGTATGGTGAGAGTGCAAGGCTACTTGAAATATTCCGATATGGCACGGCTTAGGCAAGTGAATTGTGCGACTAAGCACTGCACGCTATAATTTCCTGTTTCGTTCTCTTCTGTTCTGTTCTAACTATTTTGCTGGGGAGAGGTTGAAGTCCGAATTGCCTCGGCTACTCCATGTCAATAGGTTCTGCAGCAAAAAAAAAAATTAAAAAGGATGATACTGAATGGTACCCAAAAATAAGCATTCAGCAAAAAAATGACATAATAGCATCCTGAAGCTAGTCGAAATAACATGCCAGTGTACAGTTTGCTTGCAGCAGTTCACCGTAAAATGTTCACACACCCATCTTTCTATTTATGCTCTCAGTATATGCACCAACACATCATTTCATACATGTAAACCCCTCGCTGTATATCACAAGCGCTTATCCAGCCCGGTCTCCTCTAAGAAGTCTGTCAGGAATGTTTGCCTTTTTCTGAAGATACATCTTAAGCTATGTTCTGAGTAATTTCTTTATTGTGAGGTGCCGTCTGTCCGATCTTGCTTTCTTCCTTGATTTTTCTCTTTCATTTGCGTATTTTACACACTCCAAAAGAATATGGTAAACATTTTCAGCTGCCTGACCACAATGGCATTCCGGGGAGTAGGATCGATGTGTTTTGTGCAGGAAGCCGTTTGTGTACGCTACTTCAAGTCGAAGTCTGTGTATTAATGTCTCTAAGTGTCGTGAGAGATATGTCGCCATGGAAAATTTTCTGTGCGGATCGACTTCGTAAGGTACCGATTCCTTTGTCTTAGGGCTACCAAACCACTCCTCCATAGAACAATGGTTAGCTCCTTGCGTTATAAAATGCGGAATATCCGTCTAAGACATAAAATTTTTCTGTTCTTTCAGTAAGTGGGAGTCTAATTGGAAAGCTGTGGTAAAGATTTCAAGATGACATCGTCAGGGCAGTCCACTGAAGGACACTGCTTATGCTTCTTATCTGAGTGATTGGGCGAATCATTCGAGAAGAGGCTTATGGGGGGAAGAAAGAAAAATAAAGAAAAATTTCCGGCCTAATTGCATCACTCGACACGCGTGGCGCCGTCGTCATGTGCTAGACGTAACCTCAACTGAACACTTCGGAAGTGAGAGACCAATGATAAATGTGATCGTGCTTGTTATACGAGTCACTTCTGTGAAGGCGAGGAATCGCATCAAGTGCAGGTCACAAGGTCCAAGTGCTGTGGTGGAATAAAGAGCATCGCAGGGTACCGAACGTTGTTCCGGGACAACGCGAGCATAGCCCGATCACCGAGTTTAATTCGTCTAAGTTCCAACACGTACCTACGAATACTTATTGCACGTTCTCTCTTAGAGGAGCCAATAAGCTCCGTAATCTCTTTCCTACGCGACACGGACTTGAACAAGCGGCTGTAACAGCAATATCGATTGATGATTGATTTGTGGGGTTTAACGTCCCAAAACCACCATATGATTATGAGAGACGCCGTAGTGGAGGGCTCCGGAAATTTCGACCACCTGGGGTTCTTTAACGTGCACCCAAATCTGAGCACACGGGCCTACAACATTTCCGCCTCCATCGGAAATGCAGCCGCCGCAGCCGGGATTCGAACCCGTGTAACAGCAATGTCACACACCGCGAAAGACAAGACTGGACTATGACTGAGTGTGCGCGCGTGTGCTGCCTAATGTGCTGTGTTTATCTCTCTTCCCTCTCTCCTCTTTATCTTCCATCTCCCCCATCCACCTCCCATGCTCAGGGTAGTGAACCGGCTGCCTATAGGCTGGTTAACCTCCCTGCCGTTCTTTTCCTCCTATTTTCCTTCCTTCCTTTTTACGGTCGAACGGTTACGAACGTACAACAACTCCGAATAGAAAGAAGCTGTATAAACTTTGCTCTGCGTGGTGGGATTGGCGCTATATAGATCCCCATTCTCAAGCCTCTGCGCTTGTCCCTACGTCGTGAGCTCGTTCAGGGCGCAATCTTTGTCGCCAGGGCCTCCTCAAGTGTGAGGCCAACCGGACGGCTTTATGTTCTCCCATAGTTGAGTACCTCAAGCTCTAAATCGTTCACTTTGTATTTCTAAACGCAAAAAAAAAAATTCTCGAACGCGAGTCGAAACTCAGAGTATTCAAATTGTTTTCTGCATATCGCACATTCCCAGCGACTCTCCTATATGGGGTCATGATTTGATACTTCAGTTAGCCTAGACAGGCCGCCGACCGGACGCAGCCGACGCGGCATCTTGGGACAGCGCTAAGTTTGCCAACGTCACGACCCAAGGACGCTAGATACGCTGACGTCACTCATATCGTATATGCGTAGAAACAAGCGCTACGCGCGTCCATTCCAGCAAAACTCACATCGGGAAACAGTAGCGATTGCGAAAGCATAGACTGCCTAAAAATCACGACTTCATGTAGCATTCGCCTCTTGTAAAAAAAAAAAAAAAAACGAACCTTGTCGGAAGGAAGTATCGGAAGTTTCAGTTAGAGCGCTTCTTATGCTTGCCGGCATGTGCTTTTCAGTTATAAAGTCAGATGACGAAGCGTTAGGCTGACATATTAGAATGTAATTAGCTGTAACTTAATTTTAGAATAACCGAAGGGTCGCGCGAGTTTGCATTCCTTTGCAGAAAGCATTTTGCACAAAAAAAAACAAAAAAAGAACGGACAAGAAAGAAGAGAGTGCAGACAGGCGTAGACTAACAACCGAAAATGTGAAAATTATTTTCAGAAAGCCACACGGATAAAGGAAAGACAAATACACGTGGTTATGATTACAGGTTGGTGGTTAGATAATCTATCTCGAGTTTACGAAGGTTAATTACTAACCGATGGCCTCGCCAAGCATACGTCACTGGACTTATGTATGAAAAAGGCACCGACGATCTCTTCCGTGCTCCTATATTTCAGCCTCGACAACACCTCCATTTCATTTAGCAAAGGATGATATTCGCAATGCTTACAATGCAGGCAGAGATTAGACGAAGGCCGATTCGTTGAGTGTGAAAAGCGGGTTGGTCTATCGTATTCTATCGTATGGGAAGTGTTACATCGGCCAAACTGGGCGCTGTTTAAATAATTGATTGATTGATTGGTATGTGGGGTTCAACGTCCCAGAACCACCATATGATTATGAGAGACGCCGTAGTGGAGGGCTCCAGAAATTTCGACCACCTGGGGTTCTTTAACGTGCACCCAAATTTGAGCACATGGGCCAACAGCATTTTCGCCTCCATCGAAAATGCAGCCGCCGCAGCCGGGATTTGATCCCGCGATCTGCGGCTCAGCAGACGAGTACCTTAGCCACTAGACCACGGTGGCGGGGCAAATGATTAATTAATGGACCACAGAAATTATCTGAAAGGACAGCCTTCGTCTAATCTCTGCCTGCATTGAAAGGATTGTGGATGTCATCCTTTAGAATAATATCGTTTAGAAGAACGTTCCTGGCTAATCAGTTATTTAATAACAAACGTGGCATTTCTTATGACCTCGATAAGGGCTAGTTGGTAAGACATTTAGGAAAATTATAACTGTGCTAAAAACGAGACACGAGAACCAAGTGTACCGGACCGATCGCCGTTTTTTTTTTTTTTTTTAAGGGAAGGGAACATATAGCAGAGCTCCATGTAGGAGAAATGAACTCGGGTAGCGTATGACTGGGCGCGAATCGGTAAAACATTTAGGAAAATTGTAACTGCGCTAAAGAACGAGACACGAGAACGAACTGGACAGGGTGATCACAGTGACTGCGATCGTCCTGTCCGCTTCGTTCCCGTGTCTCGCTTTAAGCGCAGTTATAATTTTCCTAAATTTCTTATGAAATTTTGGTCAGGAACACAGGATCAATAAGACATTTTCATTTGGCATTTGCCGCAGACATTTCAGGAATCACGCGTAGATGTATCTAACGGGGAAATGAATCGAATTGAATGTCAAAAAACGGGACGCCAGCGCTCCTTTCGCAGGATTCCGGCTGCCGTGACCAAGACATAGCGTGAGAAAGTCCGCAGATAAAGCTTTGTAAAGGGAAGAAGGCGGACTCGCACTAACAAGGTCTAACCCAAATTAGAGCGCACAGTTTCGCTCCAGTGCGTTTGCGGCCACTCTCTTGATAAAAAGCGCCACATCCCGTTACAGCTGCTTCCGCGTAGCAGTTTTAATCTCGGGCTCCTCGGGAAGCGCTCTTCTTGGTTCTAAAACGAGTGTCCCAGTGTGAGACGCCCGTTCGCACGAAGGTCTTTTTTTCAGAGTTTGCAGTGAAAATGACCGCAACCACACCTCACCAGCGCCAAGGCCGCAAACGAGAGCAAAACCGCATGCTTCGACTACGTCATGGCGAGGCCCGGACCAATCGTGAGGGTCATTCGTTGCGAACCGCTGGAGCTGAGGAGGATGTGATGCTGGGGAGAAGTTGAGAGTGGGGAAAAGAGAGCGTTCCAAAGTGGCGTTGTTGCAGAGAGGGCCGCTAGAAGCAGTAGCGAAGCAGCAGGAAAAGGGGGGAGAGCTTCTTTCGGTAGAGAGAGAAGCGTAGGGAGGAGGATACACCGGCCGGCGTTGTTGCATCGCGTCGTCTGCTCCGCGTCGTCTGCTCCGAGAAGTATTCGCGTCTTCTCCGCGAGCGCATCGTCTGCTCCGGGTCTTCTTCCTCACTACGCGAAAAGGAGCGCGCGCGCCATCATCCAACATTCGGGGAGTAGTAGCGCGCTCGTGCACGTCTTCTGCTAGGCCCACCCGGTATCGTCTGCTTCGGTTCAGTTTGGTTCGGCACGTCGTCTGCCGCGGTGCAAGGCTTGTTCTCGACTTGTGTGGTGTGGTGTTCCGTGGAAGTCCCTCTCTTCGCAACCCTACCGGCTTAATTTCTCCGAAACTGTTCTTCTCGGTAGTGCGTGTCTGCGAAAACGCCAAGAATAGGAAGAGAGGAGCTCCAACATCAAGAGTGGAGTTAACCTTTTTTTTTTACCTTTACCTATACAACATCCCAACCACTTTACACAGTCGGTCGTCTGCTACGTTCCAGACGACCCATCTGCTCCAACGTACAGCAGACGACAACAGACGCAGAGGACAGAAGAAAAAAATGTTCAGGTAAGACGATATTCAACGTGCCATTCATAAATGACGTTTCCGCGTCCTTTTTCTGGGCTACTCGTGTGCATTGATGCCTGCATTGTGTCAGGGACACGTGTGTGTTTCCTACCTTGACCCTTCGTACCCCATCCCATCCAGTTCCTCTGGTCCGCCGGTCACGTGATGACTAGTTCCGAAAGCATCAATCGCTGCTCGCGCCTTCGATCGCCCTATAGGCGGCCGGCGGTCCCTCTTTTGGCCCGTTGCGATGCCACTTGACAAGGCGTGCAGCATTTTTTCGAGACCAGTGATAATTTTAACGGACCCTTCCGAGGGTGGGCCCCCATGACCCACTGGCGTAGGCCCGTAATACCAGGGTATCGGTTCCTTACTTCTTCCTTTGGCTTTGAAATTTCTCGTGTATATTTTTTTTCTTCTGTTCAGAAGGCACGGCTGCTATGTGTCAGATTGCAGTGAAGGCGTAACAAGCTGCCTGGAGTAGTTTAAACCAGAAGTAGCTTTGAAACGACTCTGTATCAATCGCTGGTCTATCGTCAGCCTTGCCGAATGCGCCTACATTTCAGAGCTTAAGATATATTGCGACCGAACAGGAGTTTTTTGTTTGTTTGTTTCTACTACTTCTGCTAGACATTTTTACAGAATTGAAAAAAAGCAAGAATGTGTCAAATTCGTTTATTGAGTATTCAGATGTAAATGAAGTTGTTTCAATTACAACACTTGGCCTGTAGAGTCAATCGGTGTATGAATGGACAGTGCCTGTGATGTAATGTTAAGCCGGCGATGCATTAGAAATGTCTTCCTTCATGACGTTCCAAACCACACTGTGACACACGGTAAAGTGAGCATAAATTCACTGCTCAAGAATTCGATAGTTAGCAAGATGAAAAATGTCATTACTACGTCGAACAAGATTCCCTATAGGGGTAAAAAAAAAGAACAGTGTTGCTTCCCCTCTCCCCCCTTTCTTTTTTCTTCTCACGCGATGGCCTGACTTGGCTGGGCGCACTTAGAGCGCATCAAGCATCACTCTTCACCCCACCTGACAGGAACCGAATTCCTAGCTCCGCCAACCGAACGTGAAGCTGCGCTACCTATAGCAAGAAACCGTGCTACGCATGGGCAACGAAAACTGGTTTATTAGTAAACAGTCCACGTTTAGAGGCAAGACGCATCTCTTCAGTTGCGTGCAGTTAACCAGCCAGGACATTGTAATTAGTCTTTAAGTAAGCGTAAGCGCATCAGTCGGAAATAGCGGAAGACTAATTAAAACTCGTTAGTTTCTGGGGTGCCGCAACCTCGGCATGCGCCTTCCTTTTTGTTTGCAGGCTTATTACGTAATCTTGACTTGACAGCCGATAAACTGGCCGCTGTACTGGCCTCTATTGGGTTAACATAACGTGGGCAGCGTGCAGTTGAAGCTCTTCACCAGCCGCCATCCAACTAAGAGCGCAATCACGTGAGTACACGTGACATGGCGCATTAGAGCGCTTCTGTTCGCTACATATAGCAGACGACGCTACATCGTTAGCAGGATACTCCGTTAACGCGAGGGTAGGAAAATCTGCTACAGCAGACGACACCCTCTGTCGTCTGTCGTAAACAGACGACTCGCGATCGTCTGTCGTAAGCAGACGACGCTCTGTCTTCTGACGTTAACAAACGGCGCTCTATCTCGCGACTGCCAGAACTCTTTAGTGTCACGTCACTATATGAGAGAGCGCACATAATAGCGAAGAATTTAGAGCGCGATCTTCTGGATATAATGTACTAGTGGCGGGCAAAAGTGCTGGTAATTTCGTACCAAGATGTAGGGCGAGAAGCACGCGAAACGAGAAAGCCGAGCAGAAGAGCGGTCTTTAGAGCCCGTCGTCTGCTGCATACGTGAAGCCGTAATTGGTGGATGACCGCATGCCTAACCTCGCGCCTAGATACGAGTTGGACGGCAAACGAAAAGAAAAGCTAGCCACCAAAATAGCGGCCCTTTATGGAACGCCTGGCGCCGCGTGTGTAATGCGTAAAGGGTGGACAATTAAGTGTAGTTTACACCAATTAAGAGACGACGCGCGTTAAGCGGGCGAAAAAAGAAACAATTCACGGAGGTAATGCGAGCCTTACAACCGGCTTTATCTGCTCTAATGTTGCTGAATTAGGGTCGTGTATAACTGAGCAGGGTTTTCAATCTGTTCCTTGTTAATTTTTTTTTCTAAGGATATATATGCATATGCTGTGACTTCGTGGCACACTTTCAGAATATTTTTCATTTGCTACAAGGACTCACTGGTGAAGTGACCAGAGTAGGTTTCGCTTTTATCTTCACGATAATATTTATCGGTTGGACAGTTATTTTCGTTCTCTGGAGCGTTTACTTCTCTGCAAATACGTTGCGCTGATGGCTCGCCCTAGCAAGTTGTGTTACTGTTTGTGTAGTGTTAGTGGCGTTGTACTACTTTTATTACAGTATACGCTTGATCTCTGAATGCACTGCGTTCTGTAACTAGAGTTTCTGTGAAACAAGAGTTCATTCAAGGCGTGCATGCATTCTTGAAACATTTGTACAGGCACGACCATCTGTTGGAGATATTCGTTGCCCCAAATTATAAAACTTATTGGTGTCATTTTGAGAGTTGCAACTACATGTGCCTGATAACCATCTCTGATTTCGCATTATCGGTTGTTTATGTGTTATGATGTTTTTGTCACAAAGGTCTTTTTTTTTTCATTACTACGCTTCCAGGTCTTCTGTTGATAGACCTTGCTTATTTTGGATACTACAACTAACATCGTCGCCTTAAGTCTTAAGTATTTATATCTTAAGTATTAGTCTTAAGTATTTTCTTGAGAATTCCTGCTCTGGCACTCCCCGTACACTCATCGTTTCACACACACAGCCCGCCCAAAGAGATTTAATGTCAGTCAGCGTGCTCTGGCTAATCTTTTGTTTTTCTTCACCTATAAGTTATCCCGTCATAAGCGGTTTTGATTGAAAGCCAATCGTGGCAGGTTTAGATAATTGTTGATGCGTTATCCAGTGTGTGAAAAGTTAAAAAAATAGGCGATTGTGACCCGGACCACTTAGCGAATGTAATGGTGCAGTTGCGTCTGTGATTGGAAAATACCGATATTCCAGCCCTCCCAAAACTGTAGTTGCCGGTCCAAGCATTCACAAGCCTTCTCGTGGACTTTCTCCGTCGTGCTTAGAAAAGGGCGCTGTCCGTCTGCAGAAAAAAGTACTTAGTGGAGCTTGCGTACTGCTTTATTCTACTTTTGTTCGTCAATGTCAAACACGTTTTCGAACGAATTTTTAATAACGTAATCTTCAGTGTCGAATTCAATTAGTTCAATGTGTTTTGTCACTTAAAACACGTTGTCGTGTGCAATGAAGGTCTCTTGCCCTAAGCCGAAGTTCTTTAAACAAATTATTAGAATTTAAATTGGTTGCTGTCAAACAAGGTATGTTGCCATAAGCTCAAGCTTTCGAAGAGTGGAGTTAATTGTCTTCGCCAAGTCATCTTCGTTAAAACCTGCGTTCGTCTAAATTTGCCCTCGTCATGACTTGTCTTTCTCAAGTCCTACCTTCGTATAGGCTGTCTTCGTCATGTTGTATTCTCATGTTGTCTTCGTCATGGCTTGTGTTCATCTATAAGTGTCTTTGTGAAGACTTGTCTTCTTTATAATTGTCTTGATTAGAACTAGTGTTCTCAAGATATTTCTTCATCGAGAAGTGCCTTTGTCATGAATTGTCTTCATCTAGAGCTGTCCTTATGAGAAGTTGTCTGTCTAGACCTACCCACCTTCGTATAGGCTTGTCTTCATGATGAGTTCCTTGTCAAGTATTTTCTTCGATTGTCATGACTTGCGTTCATCTAGAAGTGTCTTCGTCATGCATTGTCTTCATCTGGAGTTGTATTTATCAAACCTCGTCTTTTTCAAGACTTGTCTTCGTCATGACTTGTTCCTGTCACATTTTGTCGCCTAAAAGTGTCTTCGTCATGACTTGTCTTTGTCAAGAGATATCTTTATCATTACTTGTTTCTATCAAAGCTGTCTTCATCACCACTTGTCTTCATCAAGACTTTTCTTCATGAGTTGATCTAAACTTGTCTTCCTCAGAGTCTGTCTTTGCGAATTCCTGTCATCGTCTCTACTTGCATTTTTCAAGACACGTCTTCATCTATATTTGTCTTCGTCATGGGTTGCAATACTCAAGACATGTTTCCTTCATGAATTGTGTTCGTCTAGACTTCGACTTTTTTTTTTTTCGCGAAGCATTACCTCGAGTGACTTCCGTTTTGCGAGTAGACAATTCGACTTGGATTTTCAATCTTCCACACAAATTTCGAACTGTTCATTTTTGATTTCGTAAAAAAGCTTTACGAGCAACAGAAGACTAAAATTACGAAAGCATACTGACATGTCTGGCTGACCTTAGCGTTATCTGAACGCATCATCTAGCAACCATGGCCGATCGCTACGCCATCTATAGAGCGACATATAAAAAGCTGTAAGACCACGTCCAGACGTCACTTAGCCGGGAGCATCCACGGCATACAGCCTTACAGTCAGCATTAAACAACTAAGTTATTTCGTTCGCCACCTCAAGTGCTAGGCTGCCTTCTTTCCCCGACTGCAACTGTGGAGTACACGACACATACCTTCCTTCAACACCGTAGATGTGCTGCCGAAATAACATTCTTGAAGTCACGCATAATTTTTGTGTGTGTGTCCCAGATCGTCACGATCATTGCCCGTGCCATCTTGAAATTGTTCTTGGTTAGGTAGACCAACGTTGATTAGGATGGTTATGAGTACCGAGTACGTCAGTGCGCGTTCCCTGAAAACTTCGTCGTCGTGTAGCTTCGTCGACGATTTGCTTTTTGAACTTAAACACGCTCGTTCATGAAACGCCAATTTAAGGCGTGCAGTAATGTATTCAGCTCGCTACTTCTTGAACATATTATATGATTCTCTTGGTGCTCGTGGAACATTCGTTTTTCTGC